TATATATATATATATAATTCATATGGGTATATTTATCCTGTATTTCTTTACTTTTTTTCTTATTGATGACCAGTTTTTTTTTTCAAATACAAAAATTAAATTACAATATAGCCTAAAAAATAGTTTTAAACTATAATTAGCCACAAAAAATCAGTTTTAAATTTTTTCTTTACATTAAAGAATGAAAGAAAAAAAATAAAATAGGAATAAGCAACTCAAATAATGATAATCAAAGAAGTTAAAAAATAATTTATGTATAAAAAGGATTAAATATACCTTGAACTTTGCTAGAAGGATCATATATATCCCTACGTGATATTCTATAAATTAAAAGTTAAAAATATAAATTTAAAACTATTTTTTTTCACTTCTGTTAAATGAAGGGTATTTGTGAGCTCATTTTATAACGGCGGGGTATATATGAATCGTTTGTATAACGATAAGAGTATATATGAGTCACTTTATCAGCTTCAAATGATAAAGTTGAAAGATATATCCTACCTTTTTCCTAATAAAAAATATGAAAAAATTGTATATGAGAATCTAATAGAAATCACAAATAGTTGATCCTTATCCATGACATGATTGGCTTTTTAAAAATCTATAATCTGAAGACAAGTAGTACTAGGGATAGCGATATGACCAGTAATTTGGTAGGCTCATTATATTTTAAAGAAATAATCACATGTTGGGAGGTGAGGTAATTAATATTCATGCCCCTCCTAACTGTTAATGTCCTTTTGACTCACTTTCTCTAACCACTTGACTAGATTTATTATTACTTCGTGCGTCCCGTGGGTCACTTTTTTGCTTTCGATAATCAGTTTGATTAATTTTTAAAATTAAATTAAATTAGATCATTTCAATATTTTGAAATAAAGTTTAAATATTCAATAATTATTTTAAAATTATTATAAGTTTGCAATTTTTTGTATATCAATGTTATGTAAGTTTACATAATTTGAATCTTGAAAAAGGAAAAGTACTCTGTTATCATCTCTGTAACATTGGATCATGGCCTCACAGTGCAACTTTCTTGATGTGCAGCGGCAACTGGAGCTGGATTCATTGCAAGAGACATTACATTTCAGAACTGGGCTGGGCCAGGCAAGCATCAAGCGGTAGCTCTTCGTATTGGTGCTGATCATGCTGTGATTTATCGATGCAACATCATCGGATACCAAGACACTCTGTACGTGCACTCCCAGCGCCAATTCTATCGCGAGTGTGATATCTATGGGACAGTTGATTTCATCTTCGGTAATGCAGCAGTGGTCATCCAAAACTGCAGCATTTATGCTCGAAAGCCAATGGACTTTCAAAAGAACACCATCACAGCTCAAAACAGGAAAGATCCCAATCAAAACACTGGCATTTCAATCCATGCTTGCAAAATCATAGCCACATCTGACCTCCAGGCATCTAAAGGGAGTTTCCCCACGTATCTAGGGCGACCATGGAAGCTGTACTCACGAACTGTTGTCATGTTATCTTACTTGGGTGATCACATACACCCGCATGGTTGGTTAGAGTGGAATGCTACTTTTGCTCTTGATACATTGTATTATGGTGAGTATATGAATTATGGGCCGGGAGCAGCCGTGGGGCAACGGGTAAAATGGCCGGGATATCATGTGATCAATTCCACGGATGAGGCCAGCAAGTTCACTGTAGCTCAATTCATTTTCGGATCATCGTGGTTGCCTTCAACTGGGGTGGCATTCTTGGCAGGTTTGAGTACCTGAATAAGTTAATGGTATAAATGAACATATTTTCAAGATGGAATTTTATGTTTTGTGCAGTAATATATGATGAATAACATGGAATGTCCCATTAATAGTATTTCCATTATTGGTGATCTGACCGAAGAAACATTCCAGATTACAGCTTTCATTGTTTAGTAAGTGCATGTAATTTGTTTTTCTTTTTTTTTGTTGTTATTAATAGATCATATATATACTAGATTACAGCTTTCATTTTTATTGTTTTTTGCAAGTTGCGCATTTGTCTGTTCAACTGAAAATAATTTACATTCTCAAACCAAATCTACAATATTATTTAGAAAAAATATATACATTTTATGTGTTTTATATATTATATGTATTTACCAGCTTTTACTTTATCGGACGTATATAAAATGTAAGAATCTCATTTTTTTAATATCAAAATGGACTACATTCGATAAAAGTGATACGCTAAAAATTACTAATTGGAAAACCCGATGGACTCCGTTAATGTCTTACTAAAAACAAATGAGAAGTAAAATATGATTATTGAGGAAGTCCTGCATTTGGTTGGAGGTATGAGGGATAATTAATCTTGAAACAACTTATTCCCAACCAAATGACCCCTAGTCTCATCCATAAGAACTTATGCCCAGTAAGTCTGCATTTCAAATAGTACATGTACTAGCTAGGTGTAGTGAACTTTTTTCTATATTTGCCTTGCTCAAGTTCATATAAGCAAACAACCCGTCGACTTAAACACCTAACACCTGCCTCATCCCTTTTAGCAGAAAAAGTTGGAAGTCATTTGTCCCGTGTGATCCATTTTCTTAAATCTGTATACAGATGCTTTTCACAAGTTCATTTCTCTCGTTTGTACATAGCCATACTATATGCTTTGCCGGTTAAATTTATGTTAGGTGCCAAAGGTTTTTTTAGCACGATGGAAGTTACGATGCACAACTCTTACTATAGATATATACTAATGTTTTACAAGGCACTCAAAATGTCTTGAGATCTTAGGAGGGGCTTGTCTCGCGATGCTTACACCTCAGGCGTGCAGGTGTGTGCACAATGCCTAATGCATGAGGTGCATCCAACAGTTTTCGCACACTCATGGGTTATAATAGCCTTGCAGACACTCGAAACTTCTTAACCAACTCTTTGCTCCTCAAAAACACTATGAATAATGCTAAGCGAATGGAGACAGCCCAGAAGCCATGATTTGCCCCTTAAATACTAACCTTTTTCTTATATCTGGCTTTTGGAACTCAATATTGTTTGGTGAATGAATCTCCAATAATCAATATAAAACCTGATATTCTTCTGATTATTGAACTCCTTTGCACTGTATTGAATTGGATCATCCAAACACCAGTGTGGAAGAGGCTATTTGTATTTACACGCACGCACAAGTCTAAATTTCTGAATCATCAACCTCAGAGCTTACCACAAAGCTGGGGAATGCTAAAGTTATATCCCTGAATAAAGCAAGGCCACCATATCAGTACTATCAGGTAATAGCAATTTATGTTTCTTTTTTCGACTATCCAAATGGTTTATAGTCAATTCAAGAGGAACAAGAAAAAGTATAAGAATGTCTTCGAGATAATCACACGATGCCTATCTGAGTTTCATTGATGCCACACTTACATCAGATAGGGAAGTGTCATATTCTTTAGAAGAGACGGATTCTTTGAAACAAATTCCTTCCACTCTTCTGAATCTATCCTCCCATCACCCTTTGTGTCTGCATCGCTAAACGTCTGGCACACAAGATATAGATAGAGTGTGAATAAACAGCAAAGGACAACATAGTGAAAATTGGCGCGAAAGGTAGTTTAAACTTTTAAGTAGTCTTCACCTCATCTACAATAATCTCAACTACGTCATCTGAAAGAACCAATTCTGATTCATGCAGCAGCGCCAGTACCATCTCTTTCAACTGCAAATTATATATATGCAGCAGAGAGATTATTACCTTTAGCTAACATGCTTTTGCTAGTCAAAGTAATATCACCAATGATTGAAAGCTAAAGACTGGGAGTGTTTATATTGGTCCCTAACAATGATTGTCAAGATGAGGAGAGCTTAATGCATATATAGTTGCGATACCAACCTCTTCTCTCTCGATATAACCAGTGTGCCTTAGATCATATAATCTGAATGCAACTGCAAAGATATTAAGCTAGAGACATCAATGTCAACGAGTAGGCATACATAATGTGTTTCATTACAATACTGAAAGTGAGAAATCAGAACTAAGTGAAAGGCACCATTGTCAATTGTATAAAAGCTAAGAAAGTTCATTTCCTACATGACATTTTATCAGCTACTGGTGCATTAGGGTGGAAGATACCCAGTGATCGGACAAAGTCCCCAAACTCAATCACTCCATTGCGCTTAATATCAAAAAGATCAAATATCTGCATAATAAGAAACTCAGTGAAGAGATATCCACAACTTCAGATGAACACGAAACAGGGAAATTGACAAAAGAAGCAATGAAATTATCCAATCAAATGGAAGAGAGAGAAGTAGTAGACTTCCAGCATAAGAGTTGATGCGTCAAAATTGTTTAATCAACAATGCACAGGACTCATCTACAGAGACCATTTCAATGAAAAATTGGCCGAGAAACATACCCTATCTGCAAACAGATTTTTCATTTTTTGGTTCCTGAAGAGTGCTAGTTGAAACTCTTCCTGATGACGGCATTGCAAGAATTAGAATAGTTAAGTACTATATCAATTATACATTTAAAAATCCTAAACATGGAAAGATACGTGTGTATTTCTCTTTGCAAGCAGTAGATATATACCTTATGAATGAGCCCATCATCAATAATGCAGCTGCTTATTCTTTTGAACAACTCATATAATGCTTCTACTTCACGCACTGTAACTGCAACATTTTTTAACACAGTTCCTAAATGATTAGCAATTGTAGTAAGAGGTTACTGCCTAATACATGTTTCTATCTATTTTTTACATCCATGCTTGTAAACTTAGTGATGGACGCAATCAACCAAATTGACAAACCAGATCATACCTCTCGTTATCAGAAGACATCATATTATGGTTTTCATAGTAACAAGATTTGTGGTTTCTTTCCTTAACCATTGTCATTGAAGTCTCATGGATGAAATGCTATCAGAAGTCTTTTGATTATAAAATTAAATGCATTTTCTAAGATCTGGAGGCCTGTGGTCCTGAGGTGTAGTTTTTTTTTTGTGTCTAATACCTTAAAGTGAGTGATTCTTTTTAACTATCTGATAAAGGAGGGGGGGATTTGCATAGGCATAAAATAATCTATATTGGCAAAAGATACATACTATTTCCGATTGCTTCTCTTAAGGCCATATAATTCGCAATCTAGCAGAAGTTGACAGCTAGGAAACCAGTACATTAACTTGAATGACTAAGATTCTCATACTCACAAGGTGTCTCAGCAGCAAGCACAGTGGGCTCCTCATATCCGGGTGTGTAATGGAGTGTTGTTTTTGAGTGAAAGCAGCCCATCAGAACATAGTAGTAATAGCAAAAGATTGTTTTAGAAATAGATCCAGATAGACTTCACCTGCCACAATTAAGATTATTAGGTCACTAACACTCCAACAGAAACAAGGTAGATAGTGTGAGTTAGAAGCAGCAGCCTAACGATCTGCCTCGTTTAGTCTTAACAATTCAGATGAGCAAACTTACTTCATCAACGACATTTCACATTTTTTACACAATGGATAAGGCATCAATTCTTGCTTACACTTACTAAAAGTACGTAGCAGATAATGATGTAGGCTACTACCATACGTTTTACGTCTAATTATTAATCAACTTCAAATTCAGGGGATAATACAGAGAGATAGAGACCACTTGTCAAACTATAGAAGCGGAAGCCATACATATAGCAAAATTTCTATAAAAGTACAAAACCATGAGAGCATAAGAAAAGACTTTGTTACCTACAGAGAAAGAGTATTGAGTCTAAAAGCAGAAGCAAATGAAACTAAGAAGAACAAAACAACACCCAAATTTTTCAATCTTAGGGTTTAGTTTTAAAGTTTTGAGAGAGATCATTTCAAATTATTGCTTTAGTTTTGGAGAACATTTCAAATAATTTTCAATATTTGTGCGAGTATATATACACACAATTTTTGAATCAATTTGATAGGATAGTCAATTAATTGAGTAAATACAAATTTGATTTGTTAAGTAAAAGTCAGCGTGTTATCGGAGTTGCTAGTTGCAACTTGCAACACACCAAATATTAATACTACTACTTTTTTTTTTGTCAAAAGTTGATGAGCTTTCAAAGACTTCGCTTTCACCCCAAAAAGATAATGACATACGTGAAATATCCAAAGTTTTGTTGACAAGAAAATTGCTGATCGCTATGGGTTGGTTATAACAATTTATAAATCACATAAAATAAGTATATTAATATTTCGAAGTTAATATTTGATTACATGTTTAATTAATTCAGTACGATTAACTATGTGTTTTCCATTATAACGTAATCATTATAATTTAAATTGAAAAACGACATGTTTTAATAATTTGTTTTTATTTTTCAAATATTGTACGTTGATTTTTTATTTCTTGATATAAATTTTATGAAAAGATTTGTAATAGACTATGAAAAGTGAAAATTTTATAAATGACATATATAAAAATTGTAATATTAATCCTTAAATAGATGTGTGGTGTGATTTTTCCTAAAAAAAAATACATAATATAATATTTTAAGCTATAAATTGGATTTGAGGAATTGAAATAATTAATTAAAAAGAAGAAATACATCACTTTTGGCTGCATATATTGTCTCGTAGATGGCACTTGTAATCCTCATCCTTCCAACTCGTTTTCAGATAGGGATTGTGAAATACTATATTCCTATTTATTTATTCTAATAATTAATAAATAAATGTAATATGCTTATTCTATCCATTTTTTCAATTTTAAAAATGAAGAAATAATTTATTAGCTTACACAATTATTTTCAATTCATTAATTTTACATTGAGTAGGATGACTTATAATAATTAAGAGTAATATAAAAATTATTATTTCATTTGTTACTTATAAAAATGAGTGTAAAGTAATAATATAACATTGCCATGTTTTCTTCGTGTCAATTTGACTTTTTGTTTTCCATAAAATATGCGTACTACTTACCAAAAATGTGGTGTCACGTCTCTAATTAAAAATTAAAAAGCAGGTAACAAAATAGTACTTTGGTCGAACAAATACATGAAATTCTACTATTATTTATTTTCTTCCTTACCCAATTTACTTAAATGTTGGATAAATCCAGAAACCTGATCTCACGTATGGGTACGGCAAGTATTATATTTGCTCGTTGACATTTTTGATTGTGTCATATATTAGTTTAATCATTTTTCATTTATTTAGATAAGTTTACGATTGTCAACGGAAACTTTATATAAGCTAACGTGTGGACAACAAGTTATGATAAAGTCTTTATTGAAATTTGCAGCAAAACAATTAATGGAGATAAAATGGTACTCACTGTATCAATCATTGCTTTCTTAATAGGTGTTTCAAATCAAAAGTAGACAAGTAATTAGGGACATCGAAAGTAATACATTACAAATCTTCAGGGAATGAGTCGAATAAACTCCCAAAAGGAAAAATACGAGGTATGCTATTGCTTTGTCTAACTTTAATGAAAGTTTTAACAATATATGGATTGGTTATAGCATTAGAACAGAAGGAATACAACTCAGCTGCAGAGTGTCACCTTGACGTGGTGAGAATCATCTTTAACCATCTTGGTTTCAGGAAGAGAGCAATAAACACAAAAGCAAGATGGTTATTAACAATTGATAGAACTAAAAAAAGGTATATGTAACACCCTAGTACATGCATGGTCAGAGCACAAGTTCTTCTTAGATACAAACATAGTGCTGTCTTACACACCAACTACATGCACATTACATCCAACAAAAAAAAAGGGCAAGAAAATATAAAATTAAATCACCCAAAAAAAAAAGAAAACAAACTAGCTACATAGATTTGGTATGCACACACCACCATCTGGATTTTGTTGTTCCTTCCATATCCTTCCAGTAACTCGAAGTTTCAGTTCTTTCCGGTCACCACCAGAAAAGAAAAGTGCCATGTTACGCTGGATTATAAGACCATCATGACTGTCCCTGACCTTGCGATGACTATCTCGGATACTTCTTGGGGTACCCTCCCATATGAGTTTTCTACCATTTCCTCCTACCTCTAGACTGTAGCTGTAATTACGTGCATCCGTTTCATCACCCATGAATCGTAAAAATGCCATATAAACAGGGGCCACACCAAGCTGGAAGGCCTCAAAATGGAGACAGAAATATTGCCCAAAACAATGGAAGACCTGAGAAAGGAGCAAGAAAAGTCTGTCGGTTAAAACACACTACTTCGATGAAGTTGATGTGAGAATATACTTGGACGGGGGAGGAGAGCGCGACACACACACACATACATTGTACAGAAGGCATTCTAGGCAAAACTAAACACAAAGCATGACTCAGAAACTTGTCCCAGCATATCTCATATTAGAATCGGTCAAAGCAAAATGTTCTAGGCATCTTTTGACATGATAAGAGGCATTCTTGTTTATAATTTGAAAACAGAAGCTTTTCCAAAACAGATTGAAAATGACAAGACAGAATACAATGGCCATAAGGTGAACTTTTCATTCTTCATAACCACAATAAACACTGTACATAATTGGATCAAAACAGTTTAACCTTTCAATAGACTGATTTCTATTATTCTCAAATGGATGCCATCAAACGTATTGATTTATTAAAAAAGTAGCAAGATTGACCTACTAAGAAAAAGAGATAAGAATAGAGGACGTGTTTTTTTCTAATTAGGAGGAATCCAGGACGTGTATTAGGACAAAACAAATGGAAAAAGAGAGAACATTTGAACTATGAAATAAAAGCAGGTATTTCAAAAACATAAGAGACGACATAGGATATTTTGGCATCCAACTGTTCCCTTGTCAATAATTCATCCATATACTTGTTGCAAGTTCATTTTATAGGCTATAGCACTGGGGTGGTTAGTGTGAACTTAAACAGCAACCACATTAATCATTAGACAGCAACAAACAAAAAAATTACTTGATGCTAGCTATCATTTTATTCCAATAATATAAGAAGATGCTGGAGTTACCGTCAACATCCATGTTGCATTTTCTACTTCACGAGGATTAGACTTCACATAACGATGGTTGAACGTGCATCCCGTGTGCATATCCACTTTGTGGTCATCTCTTAAATGCGTAACCAAAAAAGGGATGTCCCCAGTCACTGAGCACTCTGACCCAGCATATGGGCAACTGTACGGTCTAAAATTGCACAATGTTTCATGCTTAAGTTTGCTGTAATATGGGAATATTTCTGGGCACCCCAAAGAAAAATATTTGCAAGGCAGTTCAAGTGACTCTGCAACCTTCTCTAACGCTAAGCACCTTATATCACCAAGCTCTTGTCTGCATGTCGGACATCTATTGTGCACCCTTGTTTTGCAGGTAGAACAAAGTGTGTGCCCATTGTGACACTGCAAAAACAAACAAATTTTCAACTGACTACTTTAAGCCCATTTAGATGGAGTTAAAATGCAAAGACTAAATGAACAATATGAACTTTGATATGAATTAAAGTTTATACATATCAAAGTTTATCAGTTGAACTAGCCAGTTTCACACCAAAGTCTTTTAAACACATCTACAACGAGTTCATGCATCAAGGAAAACCATACGGAAGACATGCATAGATGAGTGAAAACTTGGCAAAAGGAGAAAGCAAATATCAATATTCATCCCTCAGTAGTTATACAACACCGCCTTCTCTTGGCACATACACCTCCTGTCTATCTGATGTAGCTCTAAGTGGCAATATTCTAAGCCTTCATAAGGCAATCATATAAATATCAAAGAGAAAAGGTAGCACTTAGTATTAGGAGAACAGACAGCTCTCAAATTTAGGCACAGAGAATATTTCAGGCATGAGAAGATCCATTATTATTACTCCCTCTGTCCCATTTTATATGACTCACTTTCCTTTTTAGTCAGTCTCAAAAAGAATGACACATTTCCATATTAAGTAACAATTTCACTATGAAATGTCTATTTTACCCTTAATGAAATGATTTACAGCCACACAAATTTCTATCATTCATTTTGGACCACAAATTTTAAAAGTCTTCCTTTCTTTCTTAAACTCCGTGCCGAGTCAAACTACCTCATATAAAATGGGACAGAGGGAGTATTATTTTGCTTTTTCTCTTTGTATTTGGAAGGCCAACCATCTGGTTTTTACAGAAGAATAAATTTGCTAGTATTATGTAAAACGCCATGTTCCAAAACAACCACTAGCACATACATAAGATTGATTCATTCAGAATTGATGATATGAAATCGTGCTCATCCATTTGATTGTAATATGCGGTGAAGAATAATGCAGTCAAAAGGAGTCACCTGAATTATATCCCCGAGAATGTATCAAATTGACTTAAGTGCTACTCACTAAAATGAAAAGAAAAGGAATTGTCCGTTTTCTGTTAAAAAGTTCCTAGCTTCTAACGGCATAAGGCATTATCCATTTTTCTCCTTTTTGATAAAAAGGTATTAACCAATTCTAAAGAGGACATATCGGATAATTTACCAAATAAGAAATGTCTACGACTCCCTCTGTTCACTTTTACTTGTCTACTATAGTCTATACTAAAAATTATTTTTTACTTTTACTTGTCAACTTTAGCATATCAAGAGAAAGACGATCTTTTTTTCCTGATCTTTCCTTTTTAGTCAGTCCCAAAAAGAATGACACATTTCCATATTAAGTAACAATTTCACTATGA